TAAGTGATCCCACCTCAGGGTGGGCAAGGGACTTGAAGAGAAACTTCTTTGAAGAAGACACACTCACAGCCCACAGACACATGAAAAAATGTTCATTATCCTTAATCATCAGAGAAATGCAAATCAAAACCACTTTGAGATATTGTCTAACTCCAGTAATATTAGCCCACATCACAAAAAACCAAAGCCAGAGATACTGGCCTGGATGTGGAGAAAAGGGAAGACTTCCACACTGTGGTAGAAATGCAAACTAATACGTTCCTTTAGAAAGATGTGTGGAGATCACTTAGGGATCTAAAAATAGAACTGCCATTCAATCCTGCAATTCCTCTACTAGGTACATATCCAGAAAGCCAAAAATCACTTTATAACAAAGATATTTGCACCAGAATGTTTATTGCATCCCAATTCATAATTGCTAGGTCATGGAAGAAGCCCAAGTGCCCATTGACCCATGAGTGGATCAATAAATTGTGGGATATGTACACCATGGAATATTATGCAGTCTTTAAAAAAGATGGAGACTTTACCTCCTTTATGTTTGCATGGATGGAGCTGGAACATATTCTTCTTAGCAAAGTATCTCAAGAATGGAAGAAAAAGTATCCAACGTACTCAAGGACCCTGCCATCCCAGACAGACTAGAAGGCAAAATACTAAAACAAAGAGGATTACTTTCGAGTCTTAATAGCTAATGAATTTGCCTTGCTAGATTCTGGGCTTGCTTGGGACTTGTCATCCATCCATTCCTTTCTTCCAATTCTTCCCTTTCCTACCTTGCATTTTAGGAAGCACAAACTTGTTTGGTTTCACAGTTTCTTGGCTGGAGAGGAAGTTTGTTTTAGGATGAATCATGGCTTGAGTTTCACCCATTTATGATTTAGATGATATTTATGTGTTTTATTTTCTACAGCTTTTATTGAAGTATAATTGATAAAAATTGTATGTATTTATAGTATCCAACATGATGTTTTAATATATGTATACATTGTGAAATAATTACCATAATCATGCCAATTAACATATCCATAACATTTAACATAGTTCATTCTATTTGGTGGTAAAAACATTTAAGATCTATGCTCTTAGCAATTTTGAAGTATGTCACACATTATTATTAACTATGGTCACTATGCTGTACAAGATCTTCAGAACTAGTCATCCTATCTAACTGAAACATTGTATTCTTTTTGACCAACATCTCTTCATTTCCCATCCTTCTCTCTCCCTCCCCTGCCCCCAGTCCCTGGCAACCACCATCTACTCTCTACTCCAGGAGTTCAACATTTTCAGATTCTACATATAAATGAGATCATGAACTATTTGTCTTTCTATACCTAATATTTCCCTTAGCACATCCTCTAGGTTCATCCATGTTTTCACAAATGATAGGATTTCCCTCTTTTTTGAGGCCGAATAGTATTCCATTGTGTGTTTACATATGTGTATATGTATATCCATCTACAATAGAATACTATTATACTATATAATAGTACTATATATATTATACTATACATATACTATGCATATGTATATTCATCTATATGTATACACAGACATACCACATTTTTTCCTAATCCATTTATCCTTTAGTGAATAATCAGGTTGATTCCATATCTTGGCTATTGTGACAATGCTGCAATAAACATGAGAGTGCAGGTATCTCTGTGATATTTCCATTCCTTCAATTATGTACCCAGAAGTGGATTGCTGGATGGTTATAGTAGTTCTACTTTTAATTTTCTAAAGAATCTTCATCCTTCACATTGTTTTCCATATGGCTGCGTTAATTTACTTTCCCAATGGTATGCAAGGGTTCCCTTTTCTCCACATCCTCTCCAACACTTGTGATCTTTTCTCTTTTTCATAATAGCTATTCTAACA